TTCATCTAACTTTCATATTTAAAAATAAAAACAGTCTTAGGAATTATTGGTAAAATACTAATGTCTTCAAGGTGTAAAAATGTGCTCTACATTATGCCGGTCAGATACTAGGGTTGTTAAATGTTTTAAGGTTGTAACCTGCTTCTTTAGCCTTTAAAAGCTGTCAACTTGCCTGTGTCACAATTGGTAAGGCCAGAAAGGTATGGAAGTAACCATGCCCCAACTATGCTGGAAAAAGTCCAACTTCATCTGCATCTAGCACATAATTTTAAAACCTTCACAGGTTATACATTAAAGTTAAAATTGCTAAAAGTTACCATCATAACATGTAATTAAAGCTACTAAACATGTATTTGCATTTAAGGTATATAAAAACAGTAAAAAAGTGTTTTTAGTTAAAAATTATAAGAAGGCATAAAAATATACATTTTTCTTAAGAATAAAAAATTGTCTTAAAATTAAATAAAATAAAGTGAATGGTTTCAGCAAATTATAAAAACATTGTAGAAATTAATCCTGCAAAAAAAACAAAACTGTGTAAAAATATTAGTTAAACTCAAAAGGGTATTATATGGGGTTTTTTTTTCTATAAATTAAACACTAAAATTAAAGCACCAAAGTTTTCTTAAAATGCTAATCTACTCTTTAGCAAAACTTGTCAAGGGTTTTAAAAGGTATATAAAAACCTCACTTCATGATCAAACTGGTTAAAATTAAATAGGATTGTCTATAAGATTTCATTAAAATTCGGGTTAACATTACTAGCAAACTAATGCAAGGGTAAAATTTAACTTTCTTAAACAGGATTTTCATGTAATAGAAAAGGCTAATAAATGGGTTTTGCTTTCCCAAATTTTTAGCTAATTATTTTGGCAAAACAAAACAAAACAAACAAATCCTCAAAAACCAACTTAGGGTAACCTAAAATTCTATTTCATAATATCAAGTGTTTTAAATTTCAAACGTATTTAATACGCTTCCCAAAATCAAACCTTAGTGTCAAAGTTGTCTTTCCTAATCCCTGACTTTTGGGTGTGGCACAGGGCCTCTGAAGCATCTGGAAAACAGGTAAACATAATTATTTAACATGCTTAGGTACATAAAATGGCAAAAATGATGTCTAATAGGTTATATTTTAGGGAATAATATTATTATATTAATATATGTTCCAAAACTGTATGGTATGTCTAAAGTTCTCATGTCCAAATATATGCTATTAATCACAATGAAAGCTGTTATGTTAGGTTATTGTAAACCACAGAAATAACCAAATTTCTTTGTCAACTGTGTTTCTAATTGTACCCAAACTAGACATTTTGTTATTTACAGACAATTGTTATTTTGTTTTAATTCTCTTCAAAACATGATTTATAATCAAGCTGTATCACTTTAACAAGTGCTCTCAAATGCAGGTTTCTCACAACAACAACAAAATATACAGAACTCATGAAAAGCAAAATGTTTATAAATATCAAGCAAAACAAAAGTTAATAAAATGGACTAAACTAATAAAACACAAAAACAAGTTTTTACCTTTTGCTGAAAACACTGCTAATCCTTATTTTATTTTTCAAAGTCAAGAAAACTTGTCTTAAGCTAGCTAAAGCCTTTAACAGCTAGGCAAAGTATACTCCTGTAAACTGAATTTAAAGTGTCTTTCTTTCTTTCTGCCCAGTTCCTCTAAAATTTAAAAACCAGTTATAAGTATTCTTAAATTACAACAACATAGTTGTTTGCAGAAGCACAATAAGAACCTGTTTTATTTTGTAACAGAACACAATTAAAAAAAAAAAAACTGGTTATTTTACCAAGGCTTTAACTGGAATGGTATGCTCTCCTTTAAAAAAATCAAACAACTTATAAAGTCAACAAAACCCTTGAAAAACTGACCTCGTGTTTTGTGTACACAGTCCCTGTACAGGGTTTCTAATCTATGGTAAGCAAAAAATGTCACTTTCTAACAGGCCAGGAACCCCAAGTGATCTTAGAACCTCCAGAAAAAAAAAAGCTCAACTCATAGGTATTTAATGGTACAAATCCATCCATGGCTGGGCTTAACTTTAAAAAGTCTTATCTCAAATTCCTTCTAAGAAACAAAGTTCCATCAAAGCCAATTTAAAAGGCCTAGTAGCAAATTCTTGCTGCACTGTATATAAATAATTAAACCAAGTATAATAAAGCAAACCAATCCTACCATAATTCACCTATTGTTAAATTCTAGTCTGGTCTAATGTTTTTGGATTTTTATTATTTGCTACAGTTGAAATTATATCCGTTACAGAAATTAACTCCTGCTTACATCACACTCAAATCAAAGCCTAAAAAGTTAAGGAAGCCATCCCTAACAGTCCAGAAAAACATCCTAAATATTAATGTAAATAAATAAAAAAATCTTAAGCTGAAAATCATAACGAATAAGTAATGGAGTAAAAGTTACTCATTTTATTCAATCTCACCCCTAGCTCACCAAATACTTTTTTTTCATTTCTACCTCTCCTTTTAAGCCAAATATTAAAATGTTTTTAATAAAAATTATTTACTATGCCACCCTTTCAGGAATTGCTTTACTCACTCTACTATTTGCAGTAGGACTATCTATTACAACACCCTCAAGGTAAAATATCAGACAGAAAATCTCAGTTACTGTAACATTTTGCTCAATTATTATCCTCACAGCAGCAGTAATAGTTACTAACAAAAAATAATGCATAGGCCTTTCCAGGTTTATTTTAGAGAAATACACCTGAGAGGGGCTTTTGGCAGAGTTAGCTTAGAGGCCCTTTTTAAAAAAAAAAAAAAAACCTTTATTTATTTACTTATTTATTTATTTTGTTACAGACTAAGAGTTTTTAAGGATTTAAGGTGGGAGAGTTCATCAGCGGTTTGGACTGCCTCTGCGTTTCTTTGTTGTGCTTATCTGGGAGGGAGAGTTTTGGGTCTGTTCCCATACATCTTCCTGCTGCTGCAGGCATACTCCCTGAGTCTGCTTTTAACTTCCCTATCTTAGTGCACCTGAAATTAAGGCCCACCGTTTTACTGGGGCTCATTGTATGAGGGTGAAGTTAATAAACGTGTCTTCAGCTGTCAAGCCACCTTTCCTGTTTCTTTCCTCTTTCTTTGATTCTTACAACTATAAGGCTACAGTAATAACAAAGAATGTGGGAACTGAACAATGAGATCACTTGGACTCGGGAAGGGGAACATCACACACCGGGGCCTATCATGGGGAGGGGGGAGGGGGGAGGGATTGCATTGGGAGTTATACCTGATGTAAATGACGAGTTGATGGGTGCTGACGAGTTGATGGGTGCAGCACAGCAACATGGCACAAGTATACATACGTAACAAACCTGCACGTTATGCACATGTACCCTAGAACTTAAAGTATAATAATAATAAAAAAAAAAAAAAAGAAAGTATGGCATTGGTTAAAGGATAGATTTTTTTTAATGGAACAGAAGAGATAATCCAGAAGAAGGCCCCAAAAAGGTCCATGGAGTGTTTACAAATGTCTCAAGACAACTGAATTGAGAAATATTAGTGGTGGGTTTTTTTTTTTTTTTTTCTGAAAACCTTTCTTTTGTTTATATTTTACTTCATTACTTTCTCTCTTCTTCATCAAACCTCCCTTGGCTATTGTCCTTCACTCAAAGGCACCCACTCTTGCTTGTTTTGTGAATGTCTATTTCACTATTCGTATATTTATTTCCACATATGTGAAAGTGTGTAATATTATTGTGTGTGTGTGTGTTAAATTTACAGAAGTAGTAGTATTTGGTCACAAATCTTGCTTCATTTCTTTTTTTGAAGGTAAGAATTATTTGAGCTTTATTTTCATTGCAGCATGTAGATTTGGTTTATTTATCAGATGCATGGATAAACTCCTTTTTTATGTGTATACTGTATTTTACTTATGAAATCTCCTAGTGGTTACTTTTTATTTTGAAATTATGCTCAATTAGTATTCAATTATATGTTTCATTGTGCATTTATATGAGTTTCTGCGGGCCTATATCTAGAAAGGAAATTACAAAGTTGTAGAGTACAAGCGCTGTAGGCTTGATTGCTTTCCAAAGAGGCTGCACTAGCTTGCATTTCTATTAGCAGTGTAAGAGTGTTTTCATTTTTGTACATTGTCATCAGCACTTGATATTGTTTGTTTTTGTACTTTTTGCCAATTAAATGTGTGTAAAGTGGTATTTTAATCAATGCTATGACTACAACTGGACATCCATATGCAAAAATATAAAATAAAATTTACCTGAATCACACACTTAATATAAAAATTATTTTAACATGGATTATAGCTCCATGGATTATAATTAAATTAAAAGCTACAAAACTTATGAGAAAACATAGGAGGAAATCTATTGAACTGGACTTAGGCAAAGAGATGTAACACCTGAAACTAAATCATGATTCATTGAAGAAAATGATATATTAGACTTCCTCAATTTTAAAAATCTTTTCTTCCCAGGGCTAAGAGTGGAAACAGACTGGATTTTGCGAGGTCCCCTGTGTACTTCTCAATTCCTCAAGGTAATCATATTTACTCTTGATCAGGGTCTTCACCCCTGCCCTTCTGCTGACTTGAGGCTGTCTTCCTCAGGCCAAAGACATCATCTCCATGAAAGGCTCTAAAAGGATATCAGGGGATGGAGAAGGTTTTTGCTACCTGCTATCCATGCATGGGACCTCTCAGGATTCACACGAGGGGCAGGTTCTTTGAGGCTCAGTCTATCTATAGAGGAAGGCTACCTTTGTCCCTTCTCCGGATTCTCACCTTAATGCATGCTGGAGCTGGAAATCCTCTCTCTGCTGACTTGAGTCTAAGGTGAGGAAGCCTCACCTCCCTCAGGTCCCAGAAATAAAGTCTACGGACATCACAACTGGGGCAACCTGCCTTGGGCCACACAGGGCTAACAGTACAGGGAGGGCAGGGCTAAAGCTCCCTATATCTGTGGCAGGAGGTCCCCTCAGTCTTTCCTTAGAGTCCTTACCTTGAAGTATGTGGGGTAGAGGACAAGACTATCCATTCGCTGATCTGAAGTTCCACCCCTCAGAAAAAGCCTCACCTCCCTCAGATGCCCAAGAGGAAAGTCAGAAAAGTCCTTATCTGTGTACTTTTTCTGGGGCTACTCAGGTCAAATAGCAGGGGCAGGACTAGGCTGGGGCAACCTCTACCTGTGATGGAAGGTCTACTCTATCCTTCTTTACTGTCTTTCCCTTGATGAGTGAATGCAATCAGAAAAAAAAAAAAAAAAATCAAATTAAAAAGTATAAAATTTTATAAGAAAACATAGGGTAAATCTTAAGACCAGGAATTAGGAAAAGAAGTCTCAAAAACAAAACCAAAATTCAAAAAGAAACAATATATCAGACGTCCTCAATAATTTAAAAAATTAGTTTTGAGAATGACAATGTTGAGAGCAGAAGAAGTCAAATGACAGGTTGCAAAAATCTTTACAAGTTATGTATCCAAAAAGCACCTGTATCTAGCGTATAGAAAAGGCTATCAAAATCCAAAAATTTAAGATACAACAAAAAAAGAGAATTTTAGACCAATATCCCTGATGAACATCGATGCAAAAATCCTCAATAAAATACTGGCAAACCGAATCCAGCA